TAGAAATAAACTTGTATCTATATGATCTTTGGAATATATAATTATATAAATATAGCGCCTTAAAAACTTAGATCTTGACATTCAATACAAATTTTAGAAGCAAATTTTTACATTTTGTACTTCAAATTGACAGACCTTGAATTCGCCAATTTGGTTGATTAGCAAGTCCTTGTTCAAAATTGAATATTTTATTTTTAACTCTATAGGAAAAACCAAAGGAAATGGTTGACGAGCCAATTCATGATGTGAAGATGCATGCACCATTATGAGTTGCAGTAAATTGGGTACATTAAATATATGCTTTATACTAGTCACCACAAAGGCCAATGCAAATTTTATTGATGACAAATGATTTAGTAATTTCTTGGTGTTTTTCTTTTACACCCAACCCATCATCACCTTATACATGCCGATTTATATAATCTTCATCAAAAGGGTGCTTTGATTTTATTTTATTACCACAAATACATGTAGCATAACATAAATACCATCCTCAGAATCTTTTTGAACAAATTCATGGTTTAAAAGACGCTGTCTAGTATATTTAAAATAATTGCACCACTTAAAAAGTTACTCAAATTCACAACCTCCTAAAATATATATACCTTATTTTCAAATGTTTCAATGCCCAATTCATATGTACCATCATCAAAAAAAAGGTGATTCTACCCAAAATTGGAATGTGCCGCCTCCTATGATTGTTTAGGGTCCTAACTTGATGCATTTCATTTTGAATTTCCCATAAGAGTGCATAATGCTCTTATCATCATTATTATAATTAACATCACAATAAATGTCATAATCAACATTGTAATTTCTATTATAACATTGGTATTCATAATATAAGCCATATTAATAAAAGTATAGCAGATATAGATGAGGAAGAATATGAAGACATGAATGATATCAACAACATAATGGTATTGAATTATTGTTGTGTTGTTATCAATGATGTTTGTAATGAATTCATTCTTTTTATTATTAATCATGCTTATTATTAAGCTCATAACGGGTAGTTTTTGTTAATTATTCTTTGTAATGAATTGTTGTCATTAATTATTTACACTTAAACTTTGCAATTATAAACATCTCTATACCAATATTTGTTTTAGGGCAACAAATGTTATGGATATGGATAACTTCTATGATGGATTGATTACCTCAGAAATGACTTCATAGGAACTTACAAAAATTTTGGACTAAAGATCTTGATCAGAGACATTTAGATGTTCAACAAAGATGGATTGAAGGCTGATATTTATCAACGTCCAGAAAACTCCCTAACGAGAAAAAACTCTTTAAAGAATCTGAAAAACATAACTTTGAAACTTTCTTTTATTATAAAAGAAAGTCATAAAAAAATAAACCAACTTGTTGATAAATTCTTTATGAGGGTAAATTTGCAATAAAATAAAGCACCATTAATATTTACATCATACAAAAGAATAACATTCATTTTGCTGAAACCAATAAACAATCTTCAAAGGATACTGGAAAAAACTGAAATCTCAAATAATCTATGAAGCAGAAAATTCGCATAGGCAAGAAACTATTTGCTAGAAAATGGTCTAATAAATAAATTGCTGAAACTTATCTTGAAGAGATCGATACTCACTCTCACCATTCCACAACATTGTCGTAGTTACAAAGATCAATCATTGTATAAGACGATCAATCCCTACACCACTTACTTTGATAACTTTATTGAATCGCATGTAGTACCAGCATTAATAAATGAAGCACACAAATTTAGAACACTTCTACACTGGAAAAACATCTAGCAAAAGAAATGGAATCTGGATCTGGATCCTTTAAATTTATAATAAACTTATTCAGTTAATTTTGCGTCAGCCATTCTTAAATAAATTCGAAATAATAGTTATTAGTAAAGTATTAGTATTGTTTTGACACGGTTTGGAATTATGTTCATTTGACATTTGACTTTTAACATCAGGAAATTATATATTCAATTATTATTATAAAACGTATAATTCTGAATTGGTGAAAAATCAATTAAATTTATTTAGAAATAATAATAAATAAATAAAATAAATAATGAAAAATAATTAATAAACGGTGAAAAATAATTATCTACCCATCAACCCAGTTTTCCAATTTTAACCTCATCAACTACTTATTATCATCATCATTATAATTAATAAATAAATAATCATAGTTAAAGTAATAGATTTCAAATAATTAATTAACTACTTAATTTCCTTATTAAAATTATATTTCATAATTTAATAAGCTATCATTACTTAAATTCAATTTAGCAAATTCATCATTTAATATTCTACTTGTATTATATGCTAATGGATGTGGTTTGTGAATTTGTTGTGAATTGCTACTAATACTATTAATATCATTATCATTATTGATAATTTCTTCAAGTTGATTATTAGCAAATTCCCGAAGCTCTCTAATAGTTGGTCTCTTGGCTGGATCCACATCCCAACACCTTTGCATCATCTGTACATAATCATCAGGCATTCCTGGTAATACTGGTGGACGTAAACCTTCACATATTTTTAATTGCAAATGAAAATCATGAGGCTCACAATCAAATGGTGGATGTCCTGCAAATATTTCCCACATTAACATTCCAACACTATAAACATCAGTTTCTTTAGTGTATTTTTTTCCTTTAAATAATTCAGGTGCAATATAAGATACAATTCCATAGATTTTATTTGATGATTTTTCATCAACTGGTCCACATAATCCAAAATCTGTGATGTAACAAACACCTCCCTGCAATAATATATTACCACTATGTAAATCACAATGAATTAAATCTTTTTCATGTACAAAATATAATCCACTGCATAAAGAATTAAAAAGATTAATTCTATCTTTTGATGTTAAATTATAATGATTTTTTTGTATATAATCTCTTAAATTTCCCTCTTTTACATAACTAAGAACTATTGCATAATTTCCATTTTCTGGGGATTTAGTTATACCATGACAAGGAATAATTAAATTTGATTTAATTTTACAATAATTCAATGCCTGAAATTAATAATTAATTATATAAATAAAGTGATTTAATTTAGTTAATTTAAATAAGAACAATTACCTCATCAAAAAAAGGTTTTCCTGGATTACTTGAATTATTTAATGATTTTAATACAACATCCTGATTTCCAAAATAATTAAACTCCTTTTTATTTTCGTCATAATCATCAATAGATCCTCTTGTCCACACAGCAGTATAAATAGAACTGAATCCACCTTCAGTTAACTTTTCTACTTCATAAAATTGCTCATAAGGTATCCATTCTATAATTCGATCTGGAAGAGATGAAAGCTGTTGACATTTTTGAATAAAACTATCAATTATCTCATTTCCAGATGTCCAAGTGCTGAAGAGGCTCTGTAAGTGTAGACTAATACATTTTTCGCAAAATTTATCAGAATATCTTGTTGTTTTACAATTATTGCATTCTCTTGGTTTACCATATTTATAAATTGCTTTTTTTAATTCAAAATTATAAATAAACTTTTCTCTACAATATTCCTTTTCATTTTCTAATAGTTCTTTGTTTTCTTTGACTAATTGTAAAAAATAACTTTTTTGATTTTCTCTGACAGAAACAGTTGGAAAAGCAGAATAAGCAATACTATTCATTTCATTACAACTTTTATGTGCTAGTTCTCTCCTGTCTCGTGTTAACAATTTAACGAAGGACATTTTAACTTTTTTAAAAAAAAATAATCATTTGATACATTCCTTTTTGGTATTTATTTTGCAAATCTAATCCAATTCTTTTTCATAACAAACAAAATCTTTTACATATAGCGAATTTTTGACACATTTTCAGGTTGAGAGTCAATTTTTTCCTTGTTCCATTTAAAATATTTGGTTTTGAATTCAGTTAAAACTTTATATTAGTTTCGAACAAAGTAACCAATCACCTGGGATATAACAATACAATCAATTATCTAATAATAATAATAAATTTATTATAACCGACTCAAAGTCCTAGATAGACCACCTCAATTGTTATTGAACTCCCGATTCTTTCGATTGTCAAGAATTTTATAATCTATATTCACTTACCGCTTCATAGGTGTCTCTGTTTTTTAAAGAGCGTACTAAAATAAAAACATAGCCACATTTTCCTTCACAGTTGAAAATATAAAATTTTTCCAAGGCCCCAGAAACCGTTTATACCAGGTTTCATCAAAGCTTAAGAGATATACTGGGAGCAATTTAAAGTCGCACCCATTATTTACATCTCTTCAAATCCATGTTGATTGCAATTCAAATTTTCTTCATCAGTTTCACGGTCTGAATATTAAACATCATTATTATTGTTATTAGAATGACACATTTTCCAAGTTCTTGGCTTATACGTGCAATAAATAAATATTAAGAAATATCAACTGGCTCAGCCTCAAAGAATTTATTTACTGCACAGCCTTCTCAAATATTATAATTATAAATAATAATAGTAATTATAATAATTTCATCAACTTGAATGATGACGAATGTTCACGCGACGAAAATCGAAAAATGATTCAGTTTCGAAATGGAAACCATTTTTTAGTGAAATTTATAGTGAAAAAAATGAACTTTACAATGCTAAAAATACAATTTCAATCGAAGATTTAGTTTATGATGCCAAAGAGTAAGCGAGGTTTATTTATATTTAATTGTTATTGTTGTTGTTGTTGCTATTATTACTATATATTAGAATGTTAAATGTAAAAATCACTTGGAACTCTTTCATCAAATTATAGAATTGACAAGATGATGTTAACGTGTTTTCCTGGCGAAATTCTGATACCAAAAAGAAATATTCGGAATGTGTCCAATTCTTATCTACAATGGTATTATTGTTATTTATCATTATCAGCATCGTCATCGTTGTCATTATATTTATCAATAAATTTTTGTTATAATTAAGGAAAACCTGTTCCTTCAGCATCTACAATTAGTAATAACACATTTCGGTTCGACGTTGTCATTATCGTCATTGTTATTTAACAATATGCTTGAACAAAAATCATTTGAATCCAAGAATGTTGATGTAGGACACAAAAACGTAGAAACTAACGGAAATTTAGGGACTTCATTCCTATATTCCATGAAATCTAAAGAACCTAGTATCTCAACTGCACCTATTATATCACCAAGAAAACAGACCTTTGAGATAGAAAATAAAATAAATTCGACAAATAAAGGTGGGCGATACTGAATTAATTAACTTGAAAACTAATCATTCAGATTTTGGTAACATGATTTCTGCCAATAATTATAATGATGATGATTATGACGATGATGATTATGATTATGATGATTATGATGATTATGATGATTATGATGATGATACTTTTTTATTTAATACGATGTCTAATAAACAAAAAATATTATTCATCATTTGCCACCAAAAAAAAAAAAGATTGGAAATTTCATTTCCACAAATCCATTTCCGACAAGGATACATTAGCAGCAACAGAATTTGACAATTGATTTATTGTATTCTGATTAGTTCTAGTTCATTATCACCAGAATTTGGAGAAAGCAAATGATTTGGAAAATCATAACAAATTAATATTAACTGCAGATTCAACTGATTTCACTAGTTGAAAATGGTAAATTTTGAAATCAATATGATTATTAAAGAGATAACTTTTAATAGTAATTACCAGGAATTTTTGTTTAATTTGTATATATACAAGTATGATATCAGGAATCCAAAGTCACCCCAAAGTAAACCATTTATGTTGATGAAATTAATAAAAAAAGAGGAAAATTCAAGTTTTTCTAAAAAAATTATCTAATTGTTTTTTTTTTTCACGCCTTTAATTTAATATTAATGACAATCAACGTCGATCATGGTTAACATAATAAACTTTTTTTACTTGGAACCTTGTTTCAGTTTCAGATATAATTACATATTCTTTTCTAATGAAAAAAAATATTTTATTGTTCTAAATACGTTTACTACAAACATAAAACATAATTAACATTCATCGATATGGCAGCAGAATCAACGACTCACAATAATGCTTCTTCTAACACTAACACTAGCACCAATACTAATGCTTCTTCTAACACTAACACGAACACTAACACGAACACCGACAACTCTACCACCACTATTACAACACAACAACATGCTAATGGAAAAGAAAATCACACCTCCTCACCTACTACCACTAACATTATGGAAATTGGTTGGCTTTTCGTGCATGAGTATTATGTTTTCCTGAACAAACAACCCAGTCATCTTCACCGTTTTTATGGTAAAAATTCCTGTTTAATTCATGGTATTGAAGGCGAATCAGTGAAAACTTTGTTTGGTGAAATGGTTAGTATTAACAAAAATTGTATGATTTTAATATATAATACTATATTTATATAAATCT